ATTTCAACTCCCAAACTTTTTTTGTTTCTTCGTCTTTTTTCTGATTGATTGTGGATAATTGTTAGAATGGATCATTTTATGAGTGAATAATATGAAATGATACATTTCAATTTATTATTTTGAGAAAATTATTTTTGAAGAGTTATTTGAATTGAATAAACTTTATTTGTGTTAAATGAATCGTTTATTTGATTCTAACAAATTGTTTTTCTGGGTGTAATCCTCTGAATTTATCAATAATGAGTTTGAACTGAAGTTAATGTTGAAAATTTTCGCCTGAATTTCCGGTTCAATTTCTGGAAATATTCATTAAATTACAGTTCCACTGAAATTTCAAGGAATTTCTTAATTGAAAATTCAAAATTTCAGGGAAATATTAATTATTCATGCAAGTTCAAAGATTCCAGGAAAATTCAGGTAAATGGGTTCTTGTGTTTTCAATTAGAGGAAATTTTAGCGTTATATTCGGTACTAAATATTCATGTTGTGATTGAAAATGCAAATATTTTGGTAAATTCCCATTTCGTGATATTTTTCCCCCTGAATCGACTTTGACGTCACTCTCTTGAAAATTACTAGTCAACTGTCCATGAAATTATAATTTTTCCAAACATTGTTAGCAAATAACGTTAAAAACATTGAAAATCTGATATTTCGAATGAAAAAAAAAAATTTCATTTCATATCCACCCCTCATATCGTTAACCATTATTTTTACTCAAAATTATTTGAAAAGTTAAAAGAAAAAACATTTGTCGGAGAAATTTTACAAAAAAAAATATTTTCCGGAGACATGTAGCCCGAATACCGTGGAAACAATTTCCTGGGGTTGAGAAAGGGTGAATGAGGTGGAGAAAAAAATTAAAAGAATTAAGACGAAGCATTTGCCGTGAGGGGCGGGGGGATGAGGAGAAGAGGAGAGAGGTACTCTCTCTAATTTACACAGACGCCACATTGGCCCGTTCCACCCCGTTCCCTCGCGACTCATGCCGACGGAACTTTGCCGACGATTAAAACGCTTTAGTAATTAACTAGGTCTCCTCACCTTCCGTGGTAACAGTTACCGACTTCAACCCCCCACCGCTGGTCTTTTAGGGGAGACAGAGGTACTCACGGGTCGTGCGAGAGGATCCTCAAGCACTCTGTACCTGCACCCCACACCTTGTGACGGTTATTTAGGGGTGGCTGGTTAGGGGTTGCCCGGGCAACGTGCGAGAGGGGCCTCTGAGCGTTGCCGTGGTAACCCTCAGGCTGATACTCACCTCATACCAAACTCGTCTTTCCATTTCCTCATTTTCTTCTATTCTCGCGTCTTTCTGCAGATTCAATTCGTGGGAGGTGTATCGTGGTGTGGCGTGGATTTGAGAGCGCTGGTGGGGGGAATGAAGGATTGAAAAGAATATGGAGAATATGGGGGGTTTGGCGGAGTGGGGGCGGTTGAGTTTTTGGTTATTTCATCATGGACGAATTTCAATTCGTGAAGACAAGGGGAGAGTCGAAGGAGATGCGGTACAGTTGATTTGGTTTCTCATTAATTAGAATTCATTTGGCAGTTCGGCATTTTGAGGGATGATTCCACACTGATAGACTGATTCACTTATTCCAAACGAGATTTGCTAACTATCAACTAATGGTAGAGTTGAATGTGACCAAATGAATATTTTTTAATAGTTAACGAATGGTTCACTTGAAAGGTGAAAATTGAGTCAAACAAGCCTTCTCAAATGTGCATTTGTTAACTATTAACGAATGAACATTTGGTGACACCGAATAGACCCTCGTCTCCAACCAAATCCATTCGTTAACAATAACTAATCCTTTCTATCAGTGCACGTATGGAATACTATTTTTTCGGCCAAGTAACGAGTGCTATTTTTAGATAAGACAAAAATACTGTAGAATGAATTCTAGTGATAGGCATGATGATCACGATTTTTTAGCTTTGCATATATTTGACTGATTTATACTGTTAAAAATTTCGGCTGAAATTTCCCGTAGACTTTTTGAAAATTTTTATCGCATTTTAGTTGCACTAAAATTTCAAGGAATTTCGTCACTAGAAATTCTGAATTTCATGAAAGATCTAATGAGAACTGTAAATATTAAGTCAATTATTCCCTGAAAATAAATAGAAATCAGTAAAATTCCGGGTAATATATTTTTGAATTTTCAGTTAAACCTGAGATTGGAGAATTTTTTCCCCCCTAAATGACACGTGAGTAATAATTCTTGAGAGACCAACATTGAAGTAAATTTAGTGGAAACATCTCATGAAATGTCAAAGTTCACTGAAACACACATTGTCAATTCTAATATTCGCACTCAGAAAAATGTTTTATTTGAATTAAATAAACTTTATTTAATTGAATAAATCTTCTATTAGAATTCAATAAACGATTCATCTGCGCCAAATAAAATGTATTCAATTGAAATAAACCATTCTCCCGCCTGAGATATATTCCCATTTTTGTCTCCGCAATGCAAACCAATTTTAGATTGTTTCTTCTGTCTTCTGCTGCGATGTCATTCATCAAGCTATCAGGATCGTTTTGAGTTTAAAATTAGTGGAATGTTATCAATATTATCGCAGTATACGTAACTCCATATCAACGGCCACAAACATTCAACAGTAAAAAAGGCGAAAGGATGGGACACATTTCCCCTTTCATTAATTTGAATCGATTTTGAGGGACGATTTCATATGGAAATGAAGCCACCGCTTCAATCCCCAATATATTGATGGGATTTTCCCGTTTATGAGGAGGAATCGTGGTTGGTGATATGACGAGAGGTGAGGAACCTTACTCGAGTTATGAAAAATTGATCGACTGCAATATCTCACGTTTAGGTGACTAACTCGGTGAAGGAAAGCAGGGCACGCGTTACCCATACATCAAAATTTCCACCAGGGGTTGTATGGACAGACCCCCCGAAGCAGACCTGTATGCTCGATGGTAGCTCTAATATAAAACTTAAATAACGATACACAGCCGCCATGACGGAAATGGGAGATAATCTCGCATGAATAAGGTAGATTCGCCTGGAGGGTAGAAAGATGGGTGGGAGAGGGCTCAGCTGGGCTCTACACGAGAGATGGCCATGTGCATAGAGTCTTCTGTCGGTATAAATTTTCTTGAACATCTTTTTTATCACCTCTCTGGGTGAATAAAAAATATATAAAATTCTGTTCCGTCCTCGGGTGTTGATCATGGAAAATGATATTGATGGGTTACATAAATAATTTATGGGGGTGAGGAGGAAACCTCTATCTTCGGAAGTAAAATATTGAGTGAGCGGGGGAGAAAACTCGGGGGTTAATTTTAATTTCCCAATTTTTTCCATCCAACGTCTCGGGGCGCAGGCAATTTTCCACCCTGAGGAGAATAGACGTAATTACTTAACGCCTCTGAGACCACCCCTCAACCATCCTGGTGCCTTGTCTCTCACCCCTCACTTATTAAAAGAGGATCGCGCCCCCGAGGCTTAGATCGAGGGGAAGGGAGACTGTGTACGCCCCCGCACGTTGTTCCTGCACTAAATTCCCTGGAACTTCAAGTGAAAAAAAAACCACAAAAATCGTGTGAAGAAAATGTCTCCAAGATACTAATAATAAAATAAAATTCCGATGGTCAACTGGAACCATTTTAATCAGAATGATAACTCCCGAATCATCTGATGAAATTTTTGGAGGAGTAAAACCCCTCGAAGAACCTGAAAACTTATTGAAAAGAAATTGTTGAATGGATTTCCCTCGATTTAAAAATTGCAGAGTGGAATGATGTTGTCAGGGTGTTTGTTGTTGTACTGGGGGTAGTTTTTGTCACAGTCAGGTGGAAGGGAGGAGCCATCTTGCGGTGGGATTTGAGGCAGTCGTCAATTGATTCGTCCCCACCAGGAATTCTTCCCCCTCTCGATGCTCCACACGATGTAGTAGGGGACGTCGATTCAATTCCAGGGTAAAAAAGTCGACAGCGAGGGCGTGACTGAGACCGGGAGTATCCAGCTGGGATTGGTTGGTTGTAGCGCGGATCCCCAGAACCCACTGTACGGTTATCCAATGGATGTGGCAATGGGTGGAAACCCAAACGGGTTCTTCGTGCTGATCAAATGTTGGTGGGGAAATGCTAGGTCTACACTTGGAACAGATAGTATTGTGCCGTTGGCTCGTGCCGTAGTGGTCCAACCAGGCCACAGGACCCCTCAGACTCTCTCAGTCGGTCGAACAACGAGATAATTCACTGACAGTTATTAACGCGACACACGGAATGTTCAATTGATTCGGTTATTGTTCAAGTGATTATGACAACGCGTGGATAATTAATGTAAATTGTGTCTGCTAGTGATTTTTTGACTGTGAATTATTGATAAGTGGTGTAATTGATGCCTGAGGGACTTTGACAGGTTCAGTGATTCTGGGAAAATGGTTACCGTTGATGGCAAATGTGAGATGAAAACACTGATGAGACTGTCAAACTGATGACTTGTGATTATGCGGTGATTTGCACTTCAGGAGCTGTGGAATTCTGGAAATTAACTCGAAAGATTCGACTAGCAGAAGTGGATTGAGAGCTTTTGATGATATTCAATTATCCCTATTCCATCGAATTCTAAAAATAAGTTACCATCCTAGATTCAGAGTTAATAACAGTTGCAAGAAGTAGTAATCATCATGCTGGTCATTTGCAACGGAACCCAGCACCGTTAATTGAAACCAAGAAGGTAAAAGTATTTGTGAAAGGCTTGAGTGCCAGCCGTCGGATCCCAGTCCACAGTCCAAGACCTGAGATTCTGCCAAATCTTTCGCATGAATCCACGAGTGAGTCTGAATTCATCCGGCGAACGAGACTCACCAAATCATCTGAATGTCAACGACAAGAGGAAACATTTGTAATCACCTTGGGATCAAAAGAACTCAGTGATAAATGCAAGTGTCAATATCATCGAGGAAATAGTGTCCCCGACGGGGTGGCAATCCCAAAAATAGTCACGTTGGTGCCCAATATGGTTTTGGAACCAGGAGGTGGTCTGTCGTTCCCACCGCCTCCTGTTGGAGGAACAGCCAGCACTGGTGGCTCACTGCTGGCTCCAGCAAGGCTGTTCCAGAGGGCGACACCTGTATTTCCGTTTCACCTGGGATGGCCACCACATCATGCTGTACTTGGCAATGTACAGAGTCAGGTGCAACAGACAATGCAGGCGCAGCATCAGGCCGCTGCTGCTGCTGTCAGATTTCTCAGTCATCATCATCCACATCATCCACATCCGGCGCTCGGGAGTCATCCACTGGTGCCGGGTATGACAGCACATCATCCAGGAGCACATCATCTTCATCATGCTGGTGATCATCCCGATGACGATGACGACAAAAAAGGTATTACAATGGGTTATAAGATGATTTCTCAGGTCCTCATCTGGGGAAGTGACTGAACACGACAAATACTTGTTCTCTAAGATGAGTGGAAATGTCAGGGTCAAATTATTCAGGTCAGATAATCAGGCGCAGTCTAGAGTATCGAATTCCGATGTTAATCGTTCTGTCATTCATTGACAAATGGCCCTGTCCACATTTTCCGTCGATCCGCGCCGATCATCACGAGGGGATTTCCAGGGAAATCAAGAACAATGTCCGAGAAAACGATCCTCCGGGATTCCGGTAACGCGGTCAATCATAAAATCTTTCCCACCAGTCTCGCGGGATCACTTACTGCTGACGGGGGGAGGGGAGGGGGCACAGGAGCTATATGCTTTCAGTCAGATCTTCACACTATACAGACCCGCTCCCATCATTCCGACGGACGAGCCTCACGTTCCACCCAGTTGGGGTGAAAATCTGTTTTTTACGTGATCCCATTCGCAAGACTTCTCCCTCCTTCTGTTGCGCTGTTTATTCTCATGAGCAGTAAACCAGAAGCACTCATGCTATTGCTCAAGGTTCTTTACTCTTCCAGAGTTGTGTGCGCTTTACTCTCGCCGGCTTGTCTAGCTGTTTTTTTTATGGGTGCTCAGAATACATTAGTTTTAAGTAGATGTTTGATGCGTTCGGATGATGAATTTGTACCCAAATCAATCAGTGATCAGACCTGCTGACAGATCTGATAGCTGTCATTACGAAAAATAGAATAATGGGGTGTTCTCTCTATGAGGTTTCGTGACGGCAGCACAACTGGCTCATAATTAGACCGGTTATCTCAAATTGGGGCCACTCATCTTTCTTTGGATTTTGAACAGCAGATGTCAGAAAAACCACCTGCAAGCAAACAACAGATTTCCCGGTGTTCCTCCCTGATTTCTCAAAAGACCTGAAGGCAAATTTGAGACAAGACAGCAGTCTACTATGGCATGAAGCATTCTCAGGAGCATAATGATCCTGCAAGAACTTTTTGTCAATCTCATAATCGTTAAATAATGACAGGAAATAATACTGCACTATTATCCCTCAAATCGAAAGACTACAAATAATTTTAAAATGAGCCACATTCTCGGTAAAAGTCACCCTAAAGGCATCAATCACGATGTCTGTAAATATGTAAAGGGCTGAGCAAAAACTAACTGCCTTTTAATCTGTGAATTTTGTGCAAGAAATTGTGTGAAATTCAAAGGCACATGCTTGCGTACACCTTTGCATAAGACTAGAGGATCATATATGAAAATAGGGATGAAGCTGGTGAAGTTGATGAGGAGGTAAGAAGCCCCCTCTCCCGATGGTAGAGGATGGAAGTAAGAAAAATCCTTTTGAAAAGAAAGAACAAAACAAGCCGGCTCGGGGGTAATAACTTAATTTAAACTAAACTACAGTTTAATAATTCTCAGCCCAAGCCGTCCGTGGAAGATGCAGCAAGGCAACCAGCAATTTAAGAGCCGCCGTTAACTGCCGGTCGTTAGTCCCTTTTCAAAACTTCTATCTTTATTCTCTCTCAACCGCACACACTCAAACATTCGATGTCTTCATTCCACTTGGGCTTTGCCACATGCATTCGACTCACTCTCTTCATCTTGCTTTTTTCCCTTCAAACACTTACCTCGTGCACCCTGATGCACTGATGTCTTGCCTATCCCGCGTGGTGCAGCACTATGCAGAGAAGGGGGGAAAAATGAGAGACTCCCATGTGCGGAGGTAATGCTTGCGTGTCGTCGTGGATAGCGCCGGGCCCTGGGGCACCGAAACCTCTCGCTTGAGTGTAACCAACAAATTGAATCGTCGAAATTCCCATCCTGAGAGAAGTATTCCACTAACGACTGTAAAAAACGTCAATTCCTCGTCACGTATCTCCATCATCTGTTCACGTATTTCGCAAGACATCAGACACAAAAATCTGTTGGAAATTTTTTGAAAATTGAGTAATAGTTGCACTTGAATTCTCAATGGTGTGAATTGGAATTCTATTTGAGATCAAATGGTTGGAGGAATCTCTCATCCAGAATAATTGGGTTTTCCATGTTAAATTATTTCTGATATTTCAATGACATCTAGAATTTTCAAATTCATTGCGGAAATTTAATATCAAATCCATCTGAATTTTCAAATTATTTAATAATTGTCATTATCATGTGGACCTGAAAATTGCAATTCCATTGAATACTCCAGAATTCAACTGATTTTTTAATAACAAAATACATGAAAATTTCGTGGGAATGAGGGGTTGCTAAAAATTTCAAGATTTTTTACTTGAAATTTCAGGAGTAATTTTCTAACAGTGTATCAGCGATCTTTGGAATAACTGAAATTTCGAATGTCTTGAAACAATATATTTTTCCGGCTAAAAGTGAAATGTTTGATGGACAAGACCTTCTTATAATGTCTTGACATACAAGTCACCACATTTAAGACATCTCTTAAAAAAGGGAACTTCAGACACTCGTTTTGTAGCGAAATTGTCTTGCACTTCTTCTTTTGAACGATTTGAGAGAATGGCACCTTCGACAGGTGGACCAGTCTGATGGGAACGCGTGTCACTATCACGAGAATCATTATGCTCCTCATGACAGCCCCATTCGGGAGGAGCTACCGGATACAACAAGATGATAACAAGAAGACGAAAAATTCAAAGACAGGGATGAGGATGATCGCAGATGCAAAGGAGGTGATATTCTCTGATCTATTATATTCCCTGATGTGCGTGATAATGACCTCCCTCACGCGATCCCCAGACGTTTGTCGATCCGCACAGGGACTTTTACACGGAGAGTGTTATAATTATCACTACGACGTCCAGCGAGATTGTCTTTTTATTCCAGTGTTTCGGGAGTGAATAATTGAGCTGCAATATGTTTCCGTGATAACTCACGTCCATGAAATCAGGCCGAAGATGGAGTACTGAAAGGGAAAAAAAGTTGTGTCTCAAAGTGTCGTCTAAGAGATATCATAGGAGGGGACTATCGGAATTTCTCTTTTTTGATGTTTCCCTCTCATCATCGCTTGTCCGTCACTGGTATATCTTCCTCTCCGTAATCTCCCGGCTTCAGCGATCATTATACAAAGTCATTATTTTTTTATTACTACGTAATGGCCTGTACTGTTGGATTTTTCTTGAAATTTAAATAGGTGAATTTTCAGTGTTACGGATTTGAATTCAAGATGAAATCCAACTGTGAAAAAATTGGTATTTTATGGAAATTTTAGTGGTAATAACCGATTTAGGAGAGAAATAATTACGAAATTCCAAAATTTATTTGAATTTTCCTGATGAATATTAATTTTTATGGAATAATTAATCTGAAATTTACAGTTTCCATTTATTTTTGTAACGAATTGTGAATTTACAATATATTGTTAAAATTATTGGGGGAAATTATTGCTGTGTTTCTTGGAATTTTGTATTGCATTACAATCCCACTGGAATTTCAACTAATTTTGTGATTAAAAAAAAAATTTTTTTCATTAAAATGAATACAAATTCGCAAATCAAGCGAATATATTCTTGAATTTTTAATCAATTGAAAATTCACAGTAATTTGGTAATGACCATTGATCTGTTTACTCAAATTTCAATTTTTTCCCGTGTTCCATTGAATTTTCTAAAATAAATTAACTCAGTTTAAGAATTCTCGCCTCCTCGCTGCTCAACAATTTGAAATTTGAAGTTTTATTTTTTTTTCAAATAGCATTCTCTAAATTTTCATGAAACAATCAACCTGAAATTAATAGTTTTCATTGATTTTCAACCAAAGCTTCAATCCACAACGACGAAATTCCTTGAAATTCCAGTGGAACTGTCACTCGATAAAAATTTCCACAAACTGTTTAATAGTGCATCGAATCTTCTATTCCCTTTGAAAATTCCACAAAATTAATTTTCTTATGTTAAACACTCCCTAACACTACAATCAAAGCTGCACGAAGGAAAACCCATAAGACGTTGAGACAGCTCACGTACCCAGTGTAAATAAAAATAAATCCCCCCGCCTAACCCAAGGAAAACATTAATTAAATAGTCGGAATGGCTTGAGCACGAGGATTGTTACACCCGACGGAGCACAGATACGCTGTATTTATATGCTCCGCTAATTGTCTTTAATGATAACGATCTTGAATTACAATTGTTCGCGAGTTCGCACCGACGTTACAAGTGGAAAAGGGTTCAAAAACACCTCACCCCCC